ATATCTGATTGTGGAGCTTGTTTGTCGCGGCTGGGCCCTTCCGCTCAGCGTCGGGAGGTCCCAGATGGATTTTCACCGCAGAACCGTTCCAGGGGGACCTCTCCCAGCGCAAAACGGCGATGTCGGGGATGGTGGGAGGTGTACCCGAGCCCCCAAAATAGCCACTTTCCAAATGAGATCTCTTATTGGGGAGCTTGTTTCTCGCGGCTGCGCCCTCCCGCTCAGCGTCGGGAGGTCCCAGATGGATTCTCACACCCGAACCGTTCCAGGGTGAAAATCCACCCGAACCCGTCTCCCAGCGCAGAACGGCGCTCTCGGGGATGGGTGAGGGGGTGCCCGAGCCTCCAAAATGGCAATTCTCCAAATGAAATCTCTTATTGGGGAGCTTGTTTCTCGCGGCTGGGCCCTCCCGCTCAGCGTCGGGAGGTCCCAGATGGATTTTCACCCCGGAGCCGTTCCAGAGTGAAAATCCATCTTGAACCCTCTCTCAGCGCAAAACGCCGCTCTCGGGGATGGGGGGGAGTACCCGAGCCCCCCAAATGGCCATGTTCCAAATGACATCTCTTTTTGGAGAGCCTTTTCTCGCGGCTGGGCCTTCTCGCTCATGGAGGGCCCAGATGGATTTTCACCCCGGAACCGCTCCAGGGTGACAATCCATTTGGAACCCTCTCCCAGCGCAAACGGCGCTGTCGGGGATGGGGGAGTGCACCCGAGCCCCCAAAAGGACAATGTTCCAAATGAAATCTTTAGTTGGGGAGCTTGTTTCTCGCGGCTGGGCCCTCCCGCTCAGTGTCGGGAGGTCCCAGATGAATTTTCACCCGGGAGCCGTTCCAGAGTGAAAATCAATTTGGAACCTTCTCCCAGCGCAAAACGGCGCTGTCGGGGATGGGGGGAGGTGCACTCGAGCCCCCCAAATAGCAACTTTCCAATTGAATTTGCTTATTGTGGAGCCTTTTTTTCTCGCGGCTGGGCCTTTTCGCCCACGGAGGTCCCAGATGGATTTTCACCCCAGAACCGTTCCAGTGTGGAACCCTCTCCCAGCGCAAAACGGCTCTCTCGCATGGTAATTTTCCAAATGAATTTTGGGTGAGCCTTTTTCTCGCGGTTGGGCCCTCTCGCACAGGGAGGTCCCAGACGGATTTTCACCCCAGAACCGTTCCAGTATGAAAATCCATTTGGAACCCTCTCTCAGCGTAAAACGGCTCTCTCGGGAATGGAGGCGGTGCACCCGAGCCCCCCAAAGGGCAATTTTCCGAATGAGATCTATCGTTGGGCTTTTTTTTATTCGCGGCTGGGCCTTCTCGCCCACGGAGGTCTCAGATGGATCTTCACCCCGGAAGCGCTCCAGGGTGAAAATCTATGTGGGGCCCTCTCCCAGCGCACAACGGCGCTCTCGGGGATTGTGGGAGGTGTACCCGAGCCCCCCAAATTGCAATTTTCCAAATGTAATCTCTTATTGGGCAGCTTGTTTCTCGCGGCTGGGCCCTCCTGCTCAGCGTCGGGAGGTCCCAGATGGATTTTAACCCCGGAACCGCTCCAGGATGAAAATCCATTTTGAACACTCTCCCAGCGCAAAACGGCGCTCTCGGGGATTGGGGGGGCACCCGAGCTCCCAAAATGGCAATTTTCCAAATGAAATTTCTGAATGGGGAGCTTTTTTTCGCGGCTGGACCTTCTCGCCCACGGAGGTCCCAACTGGATTTTCACCCCGGAACCGCTCCAGGGTGATAATCCATTTGGAACCCTCTTTTTGGAGAGCCTTTTTCTCGCGGCTGGGCCTTCTCGCCCAGATGTATTTTCACACCGGAACCGTTCCAGGGTGAAAATCCATTTGGAGCCCCCTCCAAGCGCAAAACGGCGCTCTCGGGGATGGGTGAGGGGGTGCCCGAGCCTCCAAAATGGCAATTTCCAAATGAAATCTCTTATTGGGGAGCTTGTTTCTCGCGGCTGGGCCCTCCCGCTCAGCGTCGGGAGGTCCCAGATGGATTTTCACCCTGGAGCCGTTCCAGAGTGAAAATCCATCTGGAACCCTCTCCCAGCGCAAAACGGTTTTCTCGGGGACGAGGGGAGAGATACCCGAGCCCCCAAAATTGTAATCTTCCAAATGGAGTTTCTGAATGGGGAGCTTTTTTTCGCGGCTGGGCCTTCTCGCCCACGGAGGTCCCACATAGATTTTCACACCAGAACCCAGATGGATTTTCACCCCAGAACCGTCCAGGGTGAAAATCCATTCGGAAACTTCTCCCAGCGCGTACCTTCGCTTAAGGGGATGGGGGGGGTTGTACCCGAGCCCCATAATGGCAATTTTCCAAATGAAATTCTTTTTTGGAGAGCCTTTTTCTCGCGGCTGGGCCTTCCCGCTCAGCGTCGGGAGGTCCCAGATGGATTTTCACCCCGGAACCGTTCCAGTATGAAAATCCATCTGGAACCCTTCTCCCAGCGCAAGACGCCTCTCTCGGGGGTTGGGGGGGTGTACCCGAGCTCCCAAAATGATAATTTTCCGATTGAAACTTCTTACTGGGTGGCCTTTTTTCTCGCGGCTGTGAGGAGCTCAATAAGGCCTTTTGCAAGGAGCTCACTAAGGCCTTCTGTGAGTAGCTCAAGAAGGCCTTCTGCAAGGAGCTCACTAAGGCCTTCTGTAAGGAGCTCAAGAAGGCCTTGTGCAAGGAATATCATAAGGCCTTCTGTAAGGAGCTCAAGAAGGCCTTCTGCAAGGAGCTCAAGAAGGCCTAAGGAGCTCAATAAGGCCTTGTGCAAGGAACATCATAAGGCCTTCTGTAAGGAGCTCAATGAGGCCTTCTGTAAGGAGCTCAATGAGGCCTTCTGTAAGGAGCTCAATGAGGCCTTCTGTAAGGAGCAAGGCCTTTTGTAAGGAGCTCAGTGAGGCCTTCTGTAAGGAGCTCAGAATGGCCCCAGATGAGTTTTCACCCCGGAGCGGTTCCAGGGTGATTCTGGAACTGGAAACGGTCAGTGTCAAGGTCCCAGAATCACCCCAGAATGGTTTCAGGTGATCCTGGAGCCTGAAACGGTGGATTTTGCACCCCCTCCCCTCGGAGGCTCCGAGATTGGCTCTTGAGGCCCTCCTGGGGCGCTCTTGGGCGTGTTTGCGGCGCTCCTCGGGCCCTTTTGGGGCCGCTTTGGGCCCCTCTTGGGTTGTTCTTGGGCCATCTTGGGGCCATACTGAGGCCCAAAAAGCCCGATCGGAAGCGAAAAAGGGAAACGACCAAAACCCCTTGCTTGTCCTAAGGTGTTTGAAGGATGGTGGTCTCTCGGAAAATGTTTTGGGAGGCCCGAAGGGCAACAGAACCTTCGTGGGGGGGGGGGCGTGTGTTATTTGAAGTTCCCTACCCTACGCCCTCCCCTGGACCCCTCCCTAGAGTGCTTCGCCCCACCAGGACGTCATCACTCGTACCTTGCTCTTTCTGTCATCGGCCCGTGCGCCTGCCACCCTCTCGATTTTCTCCTACTTTTGTTTCTCCCGACTTCTGGATCGAACGCGAGGCGTACTTTCCGCCATCTGCCCGTCCGCTTGCCACCCCCCCTCGAATTCCCCCTGGTGGTTTAATTTCTCCCGACGAACGGATCCCTCAGGAGGCGCGTTTTCCATCATCCGAAGACCAGATGGATCGACGACGTCCGAAGGCATGCTGAGAATCATTTTGGTAATGGGTTTCTGAGTATCAACGATATTTTAGATGTTGCCACCACAGACCCCTGGAACACAATCGGGCAGGATTTCTGATGGGGCCTCGGCGCAGCGTCCGCAGCACCCAACGCGGTCCTTTGAAACCCGGCTCACTCCGTTCAACGACGTTCCTGCCTTCCCGACTCCGGCTGCCACCTCCGACTCCTGCTCCCGGGTCCGGCACCCCAGCACCCCAGTCGTTCTGCCCTGGGCTCCCCAAGCCACGGCTTCAACCTCTGAGCGGCCAGCCCACTCTGTCCTGGCGCTTCGGCGCCCACCCGCTGCACCTGCACGGGTGCCTTCAGCGCGGGGCTCTGTCTCTGCCTGTGTGTCTGTGGCCAGGCCTGATCTAGCAGAATCGCATAAAATGGCTTGCCCCCGCTCAGTCCAGCTCAATCCCGCTCATTCAGCCCGAGCGCTCAAGCAAGGACCACTGGGCTCAGGAGGGGCTCTGACTTAGGGTCGTTCCTCAAGTTTGTGTCGGGGGATCTGTGCGTCTGGCCGAGGCTCGCCGCCGCCAGAAATGCCAACTCGTTCCCTGTCTGGCGTTCCTACTGGTAGCGCGCCGGCTGTACGGCCTCGGCCTTTGAGGTGAGGCTCAGTCCGGGGCTCGCTCCGGCTCAACGGCCTCCAACATCCGGGCTTCAGGCACAGCCAGCCAGGCCGCGGACGTCCGACGTCGTGGTCGGAGTCCTCGATCCCGCCCCTATCGACCGGGCCTTCGTCCCGGGCATCTCTGCTTGTGCCCCGGAGGCCGAGCGTGGCCGAGGACCTTCCGTCGTGGCTTTTCGCGGCCCGTGGGGGTCTGGGTCCGGGGCAGCACGTCAGAGGCCCGCACCCAGTGGCCAGTTTTCCCGCGGCGTTCTCGGCGCAGGGGCGGACCCCAAGGCTCCAAGTCGCTCAACTCTTCACGGGCCAGAACTCTGGGGCCCTGCACCCGCTCGGCCAAACTCAATTCGACTTGTCTGGGCAAGGGCGGGTCCCAAGTACAACTTCTCTATGGGTTCGCTGGATCGACGAGGGCCTCCCAGGGGTGGCCCCCCAGGGCACTCCATCACCACCACCCCAGGGCACTCCATCACCGCCACCTGGGGGAATCGATCTTCATGACGTCGGCACGCGGCGGATACGCATGTGTCCGGGTCCTTTTGGGGGGCACGTGTATCCACATCCACTGCCTGCCGAGGTCCAGGAAGGTCGACACCCCAGGCTGTGGTCACGTGCGCAGATCCCCGCCTCGCAGGGTTGCGTGGCCGCTCTAGCTTGGACCTCCCAGTAGTTGCCTCCCGATGCTTTTTCTTGGCCACCCGCACAGGCGCGCTCGACCGCCAGCTCCGCGGCCCCCGCGGCGGCCTCCACGGATGCGCCCAAGGTGGCCGCGGCCCCCGACTGGCCGGTCTTCCGAGGCCTCGGGGGCGGGCCGGCCCCCTGCCCACCGCCAGGGTAAGTCGCCAGACGTCAGAGCGTGAATTACCTACCCCGCTTTCGCTTCCAGGAAAAACCAGGTCATACCACGCGCCTCCTCGTCAAGCGGCCTGACCAGTACATGCCGTAGTTTGGCATCGCTTGGTATCTCTTGGAAGCGAGGGTGGTCAAAAGCGAGGTAGGTTTGTTTTCCCCCAAAGACGTCCGATGAGGGCCGTTCTCGGATCCCGGGACCAACAAAAGAAGAGATCCAGGACGAAGGACCCCACCTTGGGGAAGGGGTCGGGACCTCAAGACATGCTCGCGTCGTGAAACAAAAACACTGCGGGCGGCGGGCGGTTTGTGACCATTTTCGACCTCTGGGGGCCCTTGCCGGGCCTCGGTGCCGTCAAAAAGCGACTTAGGATGACAAACCGACCCTGGGGAAGAGGTCGGGTTTTTCAGGGTCCGCGTATTTATTGACAAACTCACAGCGTCGCATGCTCGGATCCATGTCCACCGCCTCGCAGTCTTGCTCTGGGATCTGCGAGGCCTTTGGACGAGTGGTAGGTGTGAACGTCTTCTGCCCGCAGGTTGGGGCAGGGGGAAGGTGTTGTCCACCGTCCCCCAGGGATCCAGAGCACGGCCCCAGCAGCCGTGAATGTGGATGCTTCGTGGCGGTGCACCTTCTGCTCCCCTATGGGCCCAGACCTCCGACGTCACTGACCAAACGTCGCGCAGTCCGTTGTTTCGCGGAAACCATGGCTGGTCCTGGAACCTTCCCAAACAAGATACCGTGGATGACATATTGGCGCCGGGCAGGGGGTCGTCTGGAGGCCTCCACGGAAAACGTTGGAGGGATGGGCCCAATTCTAGACGCCTCGCGTAACCCCACCAGTCCCCCTGCGCTCAACTCCCTGGGATCTCCAAGTTACGACGGCCTTCAGCCGTGCCTGCCTCGTTCTCCTGGGAGCAACGCGAGACACGGATGGACGGGCAGTCCAGCGTCGCGGGCCGTTACGCCGAACGTGCGGAAGGCTCACCTGGTCCGCCTGCGCCCCGCTCCGACTGGGCCGAGGACCTCACCCGATTAGCGCCGCTTACCGATGCGGTGCGTCACTACCCGGGCTGCCGCACGGCTTCGGAGTATGACGGGCACTCGGTCCTTCTTCGTTGCTCTCCCGCGCATTCAGGTGTGCGGATCTCCCTGGGACTCTGTGACTGTGAGGGACTTGCTGTCTTGGGTATACGACGGTTGCTGTCCTTCGAGCGCTTCTTCACATGGTTGTGCGGGTCGCCTGGCGCTAAGTCACATTGTTGTTCGGTGCACGTCCATTCCCGAGCGACCTCGCGTTCTCACAGATCGGTTACCCGTGTACCCCTGCTTCGTCCAGACTAGATCGCTGGTCCTCTGAACGCAGTCGCATCGCTCAGCAGTGGTTGGGTCTTGCCTTTGCCTGCTCGGCCTTAGGCTTCCCCTTGCGTGGCTGCGTTTCTGATGCTGCGACGGTTCGCTGGCGCTGTCAGAATCACCTCCTGCTGGATGACGTCACCAGTTTCTGTCTGCTCATCCCCGTCAGACTCCCTGGATTGATTTTCCCGCACGGAGATCGTTCCCTACCCCGCGGTTGTCTCGACACGATCACGGCCTGGAACGCACTGCGCGCCATTTTGGCCGCGCCTGGCTCGCCCGGATGGCTGACCTCTCAGACTCCCTGGGTTGCAGCTTGCACGGCCGCCTCAGGTGACTGACCCTTCAGACTCCCTGGGATTGCACGACCGCCTGGCCTCTCAGACGCCCTGGGTTGCCGCTGCTTTGCCGCCTGATCCGCGGCCCCGCGCGCGCCCGGGAATTTAGTCGCGGCCGCAGCCCGACCGTGACTGCTCGCCGCCGGCGCTTCCGCCTGCGGCTGTAAAAAAAGTAACCCCACCAGTCCCGATGTCTGGCATGGGAGTGGCCCTGCACCGAGTGGTTCAGCCTTCTGCAGTTCGTGGCCGCTCCCCTAGCAGATCAGCCTGCTACCAGCCTCCGTCAGTACTTTGCATCGTTGTCCCCCCGAACCGCGAGAGTCGGATACGTTGTGTACGCACTGGCTACAGGCTGGAGGTGGCTCTACCTCGTGGGCGCAGACCGTGGTCGCCCCCTTCTCTTGCGCAGGGACGGGCTTCAGCCACACCTCTGCGTCAGTGGGCCATGATGAGTCAGGCCCTTCTCTTTTTGCCGCTCCTTCTTTTCCTCGTGGTGCTGCCGTGTGCCCGGCTGGCGTCCGCGCTTGCCCCCTTCCCCTTCCCCTCCCCCCCGCCTCCTGGCCTCGCCTCCGAGTGTTGATCGGCCGGAGACTGCCGCCGCCAGGGCGTTCTCTCCCCGCCGTTCTGGAACCGTTCGCCGCGCCTCGTCCCCACCCGTCGGGATGTTCGGCTCGATCATCCGGTCGCGTTGTACGCGTCTTCGCTTGTGGTTTGGCTGGAGCTTGGCGCCGAAAGGGCGACTTCTCCCCGCCGTCCCGCCGCCGGTCGCCGCGCCTTGGCGTCCCCACCCGCTGGGATGTCAGTGCCGGTCTCCTGGCGTCTAATGTGGGTCATTTTGTCCTTTGCATGTGCATACGCCACTGCGGCCAATTATCTTCGTTCCGCGCCCCGAACGTTGCCCCCCCGCTCCTTGACCTTCGCCTGGGAGCCGCCGACCAAAAAAAATAACCCCACCAGTGCATCCTGAAACGGTGCCCTGGCGAGCTGCTCCAATCAAGCACGTTAAGGAGCACGCCGTGGACCAAAAGGCTGGGAAGCTGTCGTACCCCAAAGGGGAAGATAGAGGAGGAACGAGAGGAGGAGGAGGAAAAGGAGGAGGAGGTGGAGGAGGAGCAGCAGCAGCAGCAGCAGCAGCAGGCAGAGGAGGGGGAGGGGGGGAGGGGGAGGAGGGAGGAGGGAGGAGGGAGGAGGAGGAGGGGGAAGGGATGAGGAGGATTGGGCGGATGAGGAATAGGAGGAGGAGTGCGGCGAACGGAAAGGCCAGAGGCCTCTTGGATGCTTCTCGGAGTCTCTTGGGATGTCACTCGAGAGCTTTTTGTAGGCCTGTTGGGGCGTCTTTAGGACCTGGGTGCCTCTTGGTGGTCCTGGGGGCCTCTTGAAACGACTTGGGTGTCTCGGGGAGTTTCTTGGGCCCTCTCGGGTGAGCCTTTTGGGGGCGTTTTGAAGGCCTCGTGGGACCTCCTGGGCGCTTCTTGGGGCGATCTCGGGAGCTTCGGGGGCCATTTTGGGGCCATCTTGGATCGATCAACGCAGGGGGGACCCATGTTCAAGCCCCCACCCCCAGGAGGCCCAGATGTGGCCAACACTTTACTCAAATCAATGAATTTGGCATTCTCGCGGAGGCCATCTTGGACGTTGTAACGCCTCGTGCCCCCCCCCCGTCCATGTCCAGGGGGCGGGGGTGGGGGAGGAGTCAAGACACCCTCCCTGCCCGCAATCTGTCTCGCTCACTTTAACCCGCCCTTCCAACACAGAAGTAGCACCCGGCCTCAGCATGTTCAGCGGTCGTCTATGGATGGGCAGCTACTGGGAACCAATCCGCGCCAGTCGTTGGATTCCCAGATCCCAGTCTACTTCAGCCGCCTTCCTACTTCACGAGTCGAGCGGTTGTCCCTCTCCCCCCCTCTGCATGGTGAGGGCGGAAGCCCAATCTACTTCCAACGCTTTCCAAATTCATGTTTCTTCTCATGTCTTCCTTGACGGGTGCAGACCCCATGTCCGCGATGGGGCGAGGTGCGCCACAGGCACCCCGGGGGCGCAGGCGTGCCAGGCACGCCTCGCGCGCCAGATGCGCCACGTGCTACACGTGCGCCACGTTTGCCGCATGGTCCAGCCGCGCCAAATGCGCCACGTCCGGGGCACGAGCAGAGTGTGCCAGGTGCGCCCGCGCACGTGGCAGCACACATCGGGAAGCACGTCTGCCCCCACCATCCCCGTTGAAAACCAGTGCACCATCGCGGCGGGGAGCGGGGAGGCCATCGTGGTGTCTGGTTGGCCTGCACACAGCAGGCAGTATACCAGCACCCCCGCGGACCTGTTCAGACACCAACGGACAGTGATCGCGGGGTAGCCGCGAAGTGCATGTTGTATTGTTGTTCGACAGGGATGGTGGTTTTGCGCAAAGCAGGCAACATCAAGGCACCCCCGCCGTCCACGTCAAAAGACAATCCAATGTGCTCGCGGGGCCCACGAGTATGGCCCAAGATTTGCCCCAAAGTGTCCTTCGCATTGTTTTTGACAGGGATGGGGGCGGGTCGCATTGGTCCTGGTTGGCTGCGGGTCGCCTGGGGGACGGGGTGTTTATTATGAGGGAACCGTGATGGACCCCTCCCCGAAAGAGAAGTCGGGGAGTTGGAAGAGGACCCCCCCTAAGTTGCTGGCGCCCGAAAGGGCTGGCGGGATTTGTTTCCCGCATCTTGTGCGAGAGCGATGTTCGGCACGCCCAAAGAATGGGTACGGACAAAATGGGTACGATGCCAACGCCGACAGCGGCCGACATCGGCCCTTGGTGGGCGGGCGACATCGGACGATCTGTTGACCAGCGCCGACAGCGGCCGCTGGTTGGTGGGCGACATGTCGACTCAAACGGACAGCGCCCGCGGCGACGCCGACAGCGAGTCCTGTCCAGAGTGGGCAGGAACTGCTGTCGGTCTTCGCCCATAAGGCTCACCACACCCACTCCGATTGTGCCCACAAGAGGGCTCGTCGGTGAAGTGGGCTGTCACAAGACTGAGTCGGTGGCGAGCTCAGGGCGGGAAGGCGGCGGGGGCAGGCCTTCTCAGAAGGCGGCGGGGCTCAGACGCCCCCCCGGCCTCCTGAGAGGCCGACCCTGCCCTGGGAGGCGGCCTCGAAGCCTGCTCGGAAGCCGCGAGGGCTCCCGAGCAGCCGTGCCGCCTGCTGAGGAGGCCTGACCCCTCGCATGGCTCCCTCGGGGCTCGCCGCCGACTGGCGCTCTCCCCCGATCTCGGTGTCCAGGACCAGCAAACAGGGATCCTGGACGCAGGGCCGTCCCCAGGGGGTGGGTTCGGGACATCCGGACCAGCTCGAGTCGTGCAAAAGTCACAACCGGCGGCTTGTGACCATTTTCGACCCCGCGGGGCCCTTGCCCGGCCTCGGTGCCGCCAGAAAGCGACTCAGGATGACAAACTTACCCCGGGGACGAGGTCGGGACTTCAGGGAGTGGGTCGGAACCTCCGGACATGCTCGCGTCACGGGCTCGCCGCCGAGGGCGGGCGGTTCGGCCGCGCCCGAAGAGGCTCCAGCGACGAGCCCACCTCCGTCACAGACTTCTGTGGGTTCGGCGACGCCGCCGCGCCCGCCGGCGCGCCGAGCGAGGTCCTGCAGCCGCTGCGGGACCTGGTCGACCAGTGCCAGAAGGTGCTGATGCACGAGGCGTCCGACTGCATCATGGTGGTCCTCGAGGGAGAAAAGCCAGCATAACATAGTTGTCGGAGGTCGGCGCGAATTGCGAAGGCCTCAGGGCCAGTGCCGCCAAGCCTGAAAGTGGACGACGACGACGACGACGACGACGACGACGACGACGACGACGACGACGACGACGACGACGGACGACGACGACGACGACGACGACGACGACGACGACGACGACGACGACGACGACGACGACGACGACGACGACCTCGAGAACGACTGCATATGTTAAACGTAATCTTCTGGAGGTCCGCGCAGAGTTCCGAGCATTCATGTGTGTGTGTGTTGTTTTTCATTCGGCTACGTAGGTCCAGCAGATCAACCGGCTGGGCCGCCACAGCAGGGAGGTCCTGCGGAGGCATTTCTCGCTGTACGGCGAGGTCTCCCGCGTGCTAATCCAGCAGACCATGGTGAAGCCCTCGAGGAACTCCAGCGGCCAGCAGCGGCCCCGGCCGGGCGGCTTGGGGCTCGTGGTCATGAGGGAGAGGGATTCCCTAGAGAGGATCCTGGAAGCCGGGCAGTGCCACACCGTCGACGGGCAGGTGAGCGACCCAGTAACACGGAGTCGTCTTCGCCGGCCTGTGCGCGCGAGCAGCCCGCGCAAGGTCGCGCGCAAGTGCCATGCTCCACAAGCGGTGTGCTGCTCTGTCGGCTTGCGTAAGCCCCCGCGTGAGGTCGCTCTCATCTCGCGCAAGGCCCCTTTCTTTGCGTCGCTCAGGTGATCCTCGTCGAGCGTCTGCCCGCGAAGTTCTTCGTGGACTCCCTGGAGGCGCCGGCGGCGGAGGCGAAGGACGAGCCGGGGATTGCGGCAGGGGATCCCGCGGAGGCCAAGGAGGACTCCTCGGAGCAGTACTACAACGGGCAGGGCTCCAACGAGGACGCCGCGTCCGGCTCCAGCGACTCCTGGAACAACAACCACGCCGGCCAGGATCGTGGCCCTGCCTCTCCGGTGGAGCAAGGGGCGCCGCAGAGAGTGGGGGTGGCCGCGGCAGCGGCCGCGGCGGAGCGATAGAAGTGCGTGTTTTGGTGCAGCTAGAGCAGCGCTCGTGCCTTGCATGAGCCTTGCGGTGTACGCCGCCAGTTTCGCGGAGGCAGGGCGTGCGGAGGCTGCGCTTCCAGCGGCGGGCGCGGGACCTTTAACTGCGCTTTCGCTGGGGGGTGCTTGCCGCGCCCTGTGCCGTTCTTGGGGGTCGGGTGGGTGGGGGAGTGGCTAGGGGTCAGGGTACAACTCCTGGGAGGTTCAGTTCAGCATGAGCGACGTTATCTGCGTGGCCCCCCAAACCAGCCAAATCCAGCATCATCCCGCTCTTTCCCGCTTATTTTGGAGCGATCTGGTTCAACGGCATTGCGCTTAAGCGGAGGTGATCCGGCTCAGTGGCTCACCAATGTTTCCTACTAGCCTCTAAATCCCCAATCGTTCTTTCAAAGAACCCCCAGAAGTTGCCTCCTAGGATTGGGGGTCGCAGTGGCGCCCAGCGTCAGCAGCAGCAGGGCGCTCAGAGTTCGGAGCAGTGCCTGTAGCCTGCTCTGCAAGGGGGTGTCTGGGGCAGGGCGCTCGGGACATCTCGCGTGCCCTCGGCTCATCCCCGCAAGTGCCGTGCGCTTGTGCTCTCGGCACTTGTCTCCCCTGGAGACAGAATTGTTTATCCACCCAAGGGAGAACCCATGTTCCCCCTCCCTCCCACCCCCCCCGTAGCGGTAACGCCCTGGCCCCAGCCATGACCATGACCAGTGGACATAGCCTTCTTCGGCTCGTGCCTTACTTCCTCCACGCCCTGCACGGGCACTTGTCTCCCCTGGAGACAGAATTGTTTATCCACCCAAGGGAGAACGCATGTTCCCCCCCCCTCCCACCCCCCCCGTAGCAGTAACGCCCTGGCCCCAGCCATGACCATGACCAGTGGACATAGTCATGGCTGGTCGGCCTGCTCTAGGAGGTGCGGGAGAAGAACGGTAATGTGACAACAGAGAGGGTCCCGATTGTGGATCCACGGTTCCTGCTTGGTCTCGCTTGGCTCGCGCTGAGATCCGCCGACGCCTCGTGTGCCCCATTCCTCTCCCTTCGCCTGCTAAATCGTCTTCTTCTTCTTCTTCTTCTTTCTCCTCCTCCTCCTCCTCCTCCTCCTCCTCCTCCTCCTGTTCGTCCTGCTCCTCATGCTCGTTCTCATTCCTCTCTCCCCAGTCCTCCGCCACCCCTCTCCTCTCCTTCCTCCTACCACCATCTCAGCCTCCCGTATCCTCTTCCTCCTCTCCGAGTATCCTCCTTGTCCTGCAGTTGCTCCTCCTCTCCCTCCTCCCCCCCATGCCCTTTTCGCATGTGTTCACCGTCCCCTGTACTCCAAATCCCCCTCACGTTCTCCTTCCCAGTCCGCCTGCTCCTCTTTTCCTTGTGTGCTTTCAAGGGACGCCGTTCGGCCATGGACTCGGGGCTGTTCGGAAAGGCGGGCGAATCTACCATGGCTGGCAACCCCCGCTGTGTGTCCCTCTCCTCCCCTCAGCCTACCACCCACAGTGGGGTCCGTGTATTTCGTTCGTTGTCCTGTGCTGCCCGGATGCCTTTTAGAGGGCAGCACACAGATTGGCATGAAGTCTTGACTTCGTGGAGCATCGTTGCCCGGTAACAATTTTCAGATGTCGAGTCGTCGAACGTGCGAGATTTCCGATCAATTCATCATCCGCGGCGCCCGTCATCGCTTGTCATCAGCCCCCATCACGTCAGTCTTCGGTGAGCAGAAGTGCAGCAGGGGCTGAGGCGACTTCAGGTGGAAGGCAAGCGAGTTTACAGCATTCTGGATCGAGAGTTCTGAGGCCCAGCAGCATGGTCAGTACATCATGAAACTTACCCCTTGGTTCTTTGGTGAAAGAGCATGAGGATGCGAATCGGGACGTGTAAGTTGCCTGTCACCCGACCCATGTCCAAGCGCATGCCCTGTCCGTACACATGCGACAGATTGGTTTGCAAGAAGCTCGAAGCCAGGTAAGCTCGTGTCTTGTTTATGAGTGGATGGCTGGGCGCACGCCTAAGGCACAGAGCCCTTGCAATTCTTGCGTAAACAGTGCGACCACCCGGATGTTGCCCAGGTTGGTTTCGCACATGTTGCGAATGAGTTCAGTAGATGTTGAATGAGATCGTATTGCGTGTGCTTGCCATGTATGTTGCCATGCTGCCCGCCCAGTAGGAGAAGAGAGCTCCTCAAGGGCCTCGTTGGCAAGCCTCTCGAAGTCGATGGGCGTGAGCCTATCGACTCCGAGTCCAGCTTTGGACTTCATCTTCTTGAGGGCCCCTCGAAGCTGATCGACCGATAAAGGAACTAAGTCTTCAACCTGAGCAGCAGACCTGACGGACATGAAAATTTCCTGAACCTCATCAATCTTGAAATCCTCGGGGGCCCAAGGAGAGTGGTACTGCTTGACTTTGGCATCTACGATGTCCGACGGGTGAAAGAGGCGCTTGCCCTCCACGCAAAGCTCGTCGATGCTTGTGGAACAGCACGGAGTGAGCGATGCAGCGTGCCGAGATAGGACTTTTGGACGATCCAGTCTTGTAATTCTCGGAGTGAGGCTTGTACAGCCCTACGCTTGGCCCGTTGTGCTGTCTTGTCTGCCTGCATGTGCATCTCTTCTAGAATACGCATGCCAATACTGCTGATATCATGTAAATAGTGTACCCAACGCTCCCAAGAAAACTTATGCCAACCAAGAAATATAATAGAATATGCACCATCGGGGACATCGTTGACAGGCTGTGCTGCCACCGAGCTGAGCATGGCAATATGTTGCTGACCGTTCTGCCGCGAGCGATGCTTGTAGCATCTCAAAGGCACAGTATGCAGCCTACACCACCATGCAACAACAAAGTCCGAACCAGGAACTTCCCTAAGATGCTCTGCTTTGTGCACAAGATGAACTACAAGTAGGGGACCTGATGCCCGAGAGGCCCCGCCAAGCTGAGAGACCCCGTGATGGTGCAAGACCGAGCCCTCGACCGAGCGAACCCAAGACGCATGGGGCCCACTGACTTGAGGAATACGAGGCCCTCCCACGTGAGGAGGAGCACAACACGCTCCCAGCGCATGAATGCCCACATAGAGCATACATCACGTAAACAATACACCACTTACACTAAGCAGACCCTGCGCCCGTCCCGCCCGCCCGCCAGGCACACACACACACACACACACCGCACGCACACCGTACACCCCCCCCGCCCGCCCGCCAGGCACACGCTCCGTACGCACACCGTGCACCCCCTCCCCCCGCCCCCCTGGCACACACCATCTACACTCCTGCGCACACACGCGCACACAAGCACACAGCCGCGATCCCAGCGACTGCATCCTTCTGCACGCATGCGCGTTGGTTGCAAATCCATGCGCGCGTGCGCACGCAAGCTCAGAGAGGCGGCGCTTCCCGTTCTTGTCCGGAAAGGTTTCCCATGCGGTGGTTGTCGGACGGGGCTACGACGAGGATAAGTCCGTTCCAGAGCGTTCCGGAACGCTCTGAGAAGGCCGCGGCGCCCGAGACATCCTCCAGAGCCGTTGGATCTGATCTCAGAGATTCTCGATTGATCCTCACCCGATTCTATCTTCGTCCTGGCTTCGTCCCAGGTGATGGGCAAGTCCCCGCCTCGTCCCGAAGCCCGCCTCTCGGGCGGCCGAAGCCGAGCGCACCAGCCCCGGCAGGTGCCTCGACATGGAGCCGTGGGGCCGCCAGGTGTTCGGGGAGTGCCACGGGGAGTCCACCAGGATTATGTGTCGTTTCATGGGAGCCTTCCCTGGGTTTTCCCACTCGCCACTCCATCTTCCAGCAGGTGGCTGATTTTAGGATTTTTCCGAGGGACAAAGTCTAGGCCTCCCAGATGGGGTCGGAGTAGATGGGGTCGAAGGAGGATCGCGCCGCATCGCCGATGCATCGGCAATGCATGGGCGATGCGTTGGCCTTGCACCGGCGATGACGGCGATGCATTGGCGCTGCGGCGCGATCTTTCGGCGCGATGCGACGCGATCCTTCTGGCGCGCTCCACGCGCTTGGGTGAGGGTCGAGCGAAGTTCCAAGAAATCCGCATGGAGTTTCGAACGTTTTTTTCTAACAAATACTTTGCAAATGTGCATGTAACCTTCGGGAAGATCTCTAAATCCACCACTTGCTGGTCGGAAGGCGAAGGAGGTGTAGGGTCAGGGTCAGGTGGCGACATTGAAGTCAGCTTTCCTTGCAGTTGGACCGCACTTGGATCTTCCCTTTGCTCCTCCTCGCACTTCCTATTGCTTGTCCTTCTCCTCGTTCTTCCCATCTCTTGTGACGGGGCGAACCCGGTCCTACCAAAATCGGACATCGTTGGGGGCCACGTAGGTTCCCATGGCATAGGCACCAAACAAGGAGAGTCACCACTGGGAGCTTGTTGCTGCCATCCTCTGACGCCTCCCCCCCCCTGCCTTGGCAATTACGGTAAAGGCCGTACGAACGGGAGGGCCTGGACCCCTCTCCCCCCGCATGCTGGTGCTCGCGCGCACACCACGGCGATCGCAGAGCACCCCCGCCCCGACGTGCCCCACCCCGCCCAAGCGTCACCGTGTACCAGAGCCCCAACCCCTCTCCCACCCCGGGGCACCGACCGCTGCCCAGAAGCAATACAGGCACGATTGCCACGGTGGTCCATCAGTTCGTTCTGGAGGGTGAAGTTCCAGGATCCCCGACATACTCGCGTCGTAAACCAAATTCAAATCGATGGGAAGTGTTTGGTCATGTTTGTCCCCTGGGGACACTCGCCGGGCCACAGGACCACCAAGAAACGACTTGGCGACCCCCTTTGGTGGTGACCTTCCTCGTGGTGACCCAGAAGACAGATCTGCATAGTGATTCACTTTGGGAGCTCAGCGCGGATTTCTTGGATCGGGTGATGGGCCCCCCTTGGCAGCGCCTCCGGGACTGCCACTGGCGCGCTCCGCGCGCCACGGAAGATGGACCCAGCGCCGCTCCAGGAGATCCGCTCCTATTTATGCCGTATTGACAGGGCCGCCGCTCCCCGGCCTCTCCTGGGGCGCGCTCTGACCAGGGCTTCGAGGCGAGTCCTGGCGAAGCGGCGAGGAGTGGGTAGCGGTATCGGTATAATTATAGATTCCTCCCTTGATTGTTTTCTTCTTCTTCTTCGAGGTGCGCCTGGTCGCGCTCACGCACGTGCCCACGAACGGCGGCCTGGTGAACCCCGCGGAGCTCGTGGGCGCCGCGTGCCGCGAGCGAGGCGTGCTCTTCCTGCTGGACGCGTGCCAATCGGCGGGCCAGCTCGAGCTCGACGTCGGCAGGCGGCTCGAAGAGAGCCCCTTCTCCTCAGGCCTCGAACGTGTTGAGACAGTCAAGATGAGCTACGGAGCTGCAAGGCACACCAATTGACAGGAAATGCTAAGAAGCGCTAGTCTAAAGTATCTAGACGCCCGAGATCGATTTGCTGCCAGAGCTGCGACTCAACAACTATTTATATTCTTCTATTTTTCTGAGAGGCGATGATGGTTTTCTCTACTTACTTCGAGCTGTAGATCGGGGGTCCAAATTTTTGGCATCCAGGTGCCCTTACCCGGCCCTGGGGCCCTCAAACAGCGGTTCAGGGTGTCCAGACTTCAGGGGTCCACGCCTCCTCGTTGCTCTGGCCTTAGGAATCGGGCGCTGCTTTTTTTTTTTTCGCACCGGGTGTTTTCGTTAGGTTTCGGGCCCCAGGGCCAGGAAACATGCAGATCGATAAGGATCTGCGGACTCTGATCGCGACTCTGTTCGAGAGGTGGCATCTTTTCAGCAACGTCGGATCTCAGGGTAGGCACCCGCGGGGGCGCCAGGATAACCGCGCTTCGCGCGTCGCGGCCCCGGGCGTCGAGGGCGCGGGGCCAATCGCGGGGCGCGGGGCGCGAGGGCGAGGGAGGAGTCGGCCTACTCTTCCTTGCCCGCGCCTCCTGGGTGGCTCCCAGCAGCCACGGCTGCACGCAGCCTGCAGAGCCGGGAGGGGTCGGTCTGAGCCGCCCGGACCCCAACAGTCCTGGCCAGGCTGGGCTGCGACTTCCTCGCCGCCACCGGCAGGAAGTTCTTGCGCGCGCCCCGTGGCACGGGCTTCCTGTACGCCAGGCGTTCCAGCCTGGAGCGCCTCTCGGTGGTTTAAAGATGGGGGCCCGAGGGATGTGGGGCAGTACGGATAGCACTCCAGGAATGCCATATCTTGATTTTCTGAACGCGCGGTCCCCGGAAGTTCCGATCCTTTTCCCCGGAGGTCGATTGTCCGCCCCGGGTAGTTCGTGTTTCGTCGGCCCATAGGGGCCCAGCGAGGGCCATTGGCCTCGGTTGATTTTCGCGACGCGAGCGTGTTTGGGTTGACACTGTTCGAGCCCCTCGCCCTTGGGTCGGAGACTGGAACATATACATTACCAGTGGCGGGTTTTGTTTCAATCCCAGGACTTTTTGGAGGGTCGGGGACGACGTCAGGGGGGGTGTGGTGTATACTTCTCCCCCGTTCTCCAAGGGAAACAACGAAAAATGTATACACCAGGATCCCGTATACACCAGGACCCGCGTTCGTGTGCGAATTTCAGCGCAGGGTCGGAAAACATGTCGATGTATAGTGCTCGTTTCCTTATTGGGACCCCGTCCCTCAGAGCCCCATGTTTGAACCGCCGAGCCTCGGGGAGCCTGCGCTGCTGGACCACTGGGCCGCGCCCCTCGCGGAGGACGGTCGCAGCTACCAGCTGAGCGGCACTGCGAGGCTCGAAGAGGAAACAGCCAGGCTTGCGAAGGGCCCAGCCATCTGCCGGAAGCGGCAAAGAGGGGGGTGGATGACTAGGGGGGGTGGATATCATGGCGTGGGCCATACTATTTCCCCAGATGTCATGGCGCCTCTTCTTATTTCATTACGTCCCTGGCCCCCCCTTTTGCCGCGCACATGCCGACGGCCATTATTTGCACCCCCCCCTCTTGGACGCCCCCCTCTTGGCCGCCCCTGAATATGCAGTTGTGAGTAATGCAGTTGTAAGTACCGTCTTCGGAGGAGCTCCCGATAGGGGCCACGAAGCGTGGGAGGAATGTGCTGAAATGCGCGCGGCGGGCGCATGCGAACGCAACCGTTGGCGCTTTCGGTGGAGCTCCCTATGGGGCAACGAAGCGTGTGAGGGGTGTGCCGGAATGGACGCGGCGGGCGCATGCGAGCGCAGCCATTGGGGCTTTCGGTGGAGGAGCTCCCTAGGGTGCCACGAACCGTGTGAGGAGTGTGCCGAAATTTGTGCGGTGGGCGCATGCGAACGCAGCCACCGGGGCCTTCGGTAGAGCCCCCTCTGGTGCCACATAGCGTATGATGGGGTGTGCCGGCATGAGTGAACGGTGCGGAGGGAGGAGGCATGGATGGGAGGAGGGAGGAGGGGGAAGAGGAGGAGGGAGTGAAACGCGTGGCGCTGTATTTTCAAAACGAGGACCCAACACCACAGGATGCTCGGTAAACGCGTTACGTAATGAACTACATGATCGCCAGCGTGGGCCCCACAGTGTTATCTAGCTTGCTAAGAACAGTCAGGTAAATTGGATAAGAAAAGTCAGGTAAGTTGGTACGACTTGAACATCTGTCCCGAAGTTTCAAACCGCGCGCAGGTGCCAGATTGGGCCAGGGACCGTCAGCCCAGCCAGCCTGGGGAAAGGGGTTTGGCGACAGGTCGCGGGCGATGGGCGCAGAGTCTGGCGCCCGAAAACGAATACAGGGGCCCCCGCAGACGTTGACGAGGGTCCCCGCTCGGGAGTGTCAACTTCGCGTCGGACGTCGATCCGGCCACGGGCCCGTTACGGATCCGATGCGGACCCGATGTTTGTTAGACGGATCCACTGCGAAATCGGCGGACGGATCCGAATGGTGGGGAAATATTATGTTTCGCACGGGTCTTGTCGGACCACTGCGCGTTTGTGTAATACAAATGTTGTGCAACATGCCAGCCAGGGTGGCGCATAGGCCGAGTCTTTCTCGCACAACCAACATCCTGCCCAAAGTAATGCGGCGAGGGCCGGTTGCGATGGGCGGCGACGGGCCACCCGAAGCCGGCTGGACCGGCGCACAGGCACAGCTTCTTCTGAGAGAACTAACCACGAAGTGCAAGCACAGTTTAGGGAATTGTCGCAGGTCCGCGCGGATTGTGAGGGTCGGCGCTGGGCCCCTCCCTCCCTGGCGTGCGAAGCGTGCAAGGAGCGGCGCAGGATACGCCATCGGGGGGGTATACCTAACGCGGACCTCAGACAACTTATGTTTATGCACGTTTCTTCTTCTCCTGGAGGCGCTTCGAGTTCTGGGAGGGCGCCGTGGCCAGCCGGCTCGGCCTTGGAGTCGCCGTGCGGTATTCGCGATGAAGGAATCGGGTATTGAGGGTTTTTCGTTGTTTTTATCTCCACGGGGCTTTCTACGAGGCACAGGTGCTTTAACAAATTGCTCAGGGTGCTGAACTGGTCCAGGGTCGCCTTGCGGTACTCGAACAGCACATGTCTAAGCACAAACTTTCGACGCTCCGCACGGATTTATTGGATCGGCACTGGGGCCACCCATGGACGGAGCCTCTAGCGCCGCCCCTGGCGCGCTCCGCGCGCTAATGAGGGGGGGCCCAGCGCCGATCCAAGAAATCCGCGCGGAGCTGTCCGGAAGTGTATGTGCACTGCGTTTTGGGGGGAATGGAGGTACCGATGCCGCTGCTCCACAGACCTCTCCTGGGGCGCGCTCTGACCATGATTTCGAGACGAACCCAGCCGTGGCGACGAGAAGTAGGAACCTGTGTTTTTTTTATTCTGGAGCGATGACGGCCGCCACCAGGGGTGGGGAAGGGGGCCCGTGACGTCACGTTTCGCGCCAGCGGCGTCCCAAAATGCTTAGGAATGACCGAGGAGGGGCAGCAGCAGCAGCAGCAGCAGCAGCAGCAGCAGCAACAGCAGCAGCAGCATGTAGGTTTGCGATTTGCACCACAGCGCCTGTGTACACCACAGTGCCTGCGTCGTGACGTGACGGCCGTAATGGCGGAAAATGGAAAAGCAGGCTCTAGGTAGTGGCATCGGCACTTTGTCTTCGTGGCCCCAGCTGTTTGGACCATTTCCCCGGGAGCCGTTTGTCGACCCAGGTTCATTTTGATGGTCCTGGGCCTCGACCAGATGCCGAAATCGAAGAGAAACGCCCAGATCTTTTCCTCCCCTGAGTGTGTCCCTCTGTGTTTTATTGGGTTTCTCTATAGGAACCCACTCTGCTTCAGTCCACTCTTCTCCAGTCCATTCTTCTCCAGTCCATTCCACTTCAGTCTATTTTTTTCCGTAGCCATTTTGGCTCAAGGCCATGGAGCACCCGACGACCGCGAGTCGTCCGCGGCGCTCTGAGCGCGAGGGGCTCGGCGCTTTGGGCCTGCTCACGAGTGATTGTTCTTCGTGCCTCGTGTCTCAGCCGCGAGGCCGCAGTTTTGGGCCGCGAGGCCATACGTCTGGGTCAGCCTTGCCATGGTGGCGGACGGACAGCCAGCTGGAGGCCGCTCCTAGGCCAGCGTCGCAGCGGGCGGCAAGGCCAAGGGCAATTGGAGCTACTGGGTCTGCTCCAGCGGCCAGTGCAGGGAGTGGAACTGGTGCACGCTCTGGAAGTGCCGCAGCTGCGGCCGAGTGGCCCCGCCTTGGGTCAAGGCTGCCCAGCCGCCCGCGGCTGACGCAGGCCAGGCGCCGCCCGTCGCCGACGCCCAGGGCTTCGTCGTCCAGCCCCGTGGGAGGAAGGCGAGGCACCAGGCCAAGCGCGCTGCTGCCCGCGCTGCCAGCGCTGGGGCCGCCAGCCAGGCAGGCGCCAGCGAGGCCAGCAGCGCGCAGCCGTCGGCCGTCGAGCGGCACCGCCAGGAGGTCAAGCGCATCGAGGACTTCCTCGCGGCCCCTGGCGGGGCCATCGACGAGGCGTGCCAGCAGTCGCTGCGCGCGGCCCTCGACCGCGAGCGTCGCAGGCTCTCGGCAGCCGAGGCGGCGCTGGCGGAGCGCAAGAAGGCCGACATCCCCCTGCCCAAGGCGCTCCACGGCGCAGGCAACGCCTTGGGGAAGCTGGGCAGGCAGGGGCGGGCCAAGGAGCAGCCGCTGCTCAAGGCCGAGGAGGCCCACGCGGCAGCCATCGGAGAGCGCGAGGCGGCCATCGCGCGCGAGGCCGCATGCGCCGAGGCTGTCGAGGAGTGCCGAGCTGCTCTCGAGGCTCACCGCGAGGAGCAGAAGGCCGCGGAGGCCAGGCAAGCCAAGGAGGTCAGCGCGGCCTTCGCTGGCACGGACTTGCTCGGGATGGTCTTCGGCCTCATCCAGCAGGTCGAGGCCTTGCCCCAAGGGTTCGCCGCGGGCAACGGGGAGGCCGCCTTCGCTGAGGTCGCCAAGCAGACCGCAGCGGTCCGCAGGCATGCGCCCCCCGGGGCCAGGGGGCGCTCACCCTGGGCCGACACCCCCCTCGACGTCTCCGACGAGGACTTCGACGGAGATGAGGAGGAGCGGGCGCGTGCGTCGTCGCCCCCCCCCCCCCCCTGCAGGATGCTGCCGAGCGCGGCCAGGCTGCGCGGCGAGGAGAGGCGCACGGTGCGTGGCCCTCAGCCCAGCCGCTGGCCAGTGGCCTTGCCAACGCTGGGGCTGCCCTCCTCGACGACCAGCTGCTGGCGACGGCTGCTGGTGGCCGTGCTGCTGTGGGCCGCGGTCGGGTTTGACGTCGATTCGGCAGCCCCGTGTTCGGTTGGCAGCAGGAGGGTCAGGCGGCGCTGGGGTGCGCAGGAGCCAGCGGAGCGGGGGGCCCAATGCCCTTCCCTGTGATTGGGCAAACCTGCGAGTGCGGCACCTGGCCGTGGGGGAGCGTTGAGGGCCGCCGACGGGCGGGTGGCCGATGCCCCTCCCCCCCCCCCCCGGGCTCCCCGTCGAGGCCGCTGACGAGCGGGCGGCCGAGACCCTCGACGGGCGCAGCGAAGCCATGGTGCCAAGTGACCAGAGGACGAGGATGACGGCACAGGAGGCCTGCATTGGCAAGGCGCGCCTCGGGCCTCAGCTTGCCCCTGAGTCGGGCCCTCGGGGACCTTGCCCCCTGCGCGCTGGCCTGGAGGTCCTGGGCTGCAGCGGTAACGTCTGGAACAGGAGCGTCGAGGTCCCCGAGGCCTTCTTCCACGCCCACCAGTACTGGCCGCAGCTGGTCCTCCTTCAGGAGACGAGGCTGACCCCGGAGAAGAGGCTGGCCCAGGGCTCTGGCACGCCGCCTCGGCTACACCGCCTTCTCTCACGAGGCGGTGGCCATGGGCCAGCCTGGCCCGAACGCCACGTCGGGCGGCGTCCCGATCCTGGTGAGGGCTGGACTCCAGGCCGAAGAGTCCGCCTGCCAGCTCCCTGCGGTCCTTCGCCACCGCCTCATCGGCGTAGAGGTGACGGCGCCGTCGGGCCTCCGCTTTCTGGCCTTGGCAGGGTACTTCCAGCACTCTTCGGGCCCGCGGGGGGTCAACCTCGACCTGTTCTCCTCGGTCTCGGACCTGGCGGCATTCTCACTTGACTTGCCCTGGATCCTCCAGGCAGATTTCAACATGGAGCCCGAGCCCCTGCAGGAGTTGGGCTGGCCTGCTGCGGTTCGCGGGCAGGTGCTCGGGCCCTCGGAGGCGACCTGCTGCGCCCAGGGCTTGGAGCACGTCTACGACTGGTTCGTCGCGTCGTCCGACCTGGCCACTTGCACGGCGTCCTGCGCGACCACGCTCAGCGACTTCGGGCTGCGCCCGCACTCTCCTGTGCTGCTGCGCCTCCAGGACGTCAGGTGCGATGCCCTGGTCGAGGTGCCCTCCCGTCCTGCTCGTTTTCCAGATGTGGATGTCAAAGGCCTGCGCTCCCGCGAGGACGCCCTGGCCCAGGCCTTCGCGGTCGGCAAGCGCGGGAAGGTGTCGCAGAAGGCTGTGTCTTGGTCATGTGCTCAGGGTTCGCGCCTGACCTGTCTCTCCTTCGCCTTCGGCGAGTGGATCGAGGCGGCGGAGGGCACTCTCACGGGCATCCACGGGATTGCGCCGGGCGGCCTGCCGCGCTACCTTGGGCGAGCGGCTGGGCCCAGGACCAGGCGCATGCCCTTCAGCGCGCTGGTGCAGCGCGAGGCCAGACTGAAGTGCAGCATGCTGACCCACCGCCTGAGGAGCTGCCTCTCGGTCGCCCTCCAGAGGCATCGCGCCGAGCAGGCCAGCAGGTGGCACCCGAACCACACTTGGTGGCATGAGCAGGAGGCTGCGGAGAGGGCGAAGCTCCTGGACGAGGCGGCCCAGGAGGTGACTGGTCTTCAGAGCGTGGCCCTCCCTGGGGTCTCCGACGCGAAGTGGGGTGATCTCGCCTACCACGCGGGGGTGAAGGGCTGCCCCACGGCGATCGCCAAGCTGCAGTCGTGGCTCCTGGCGTCCCAGAGGCGCGATGCCGCTGAAGGCGCTGCCGCTTGGCGCAGCTGGGCCCAGACGGCGGCGGAGAAAGGGGGCCGCCTGGCCCACCGCTTCTCCAAGGCGACTCCCACGCCAGTTGTCAGGGACGCCGACGCTGGGAGGCCGCTCGTCGGCATGGACGCCGTGGACCAGCTCGCCCGCACGTGGCGGCGGCTCTGGCTCCAGGAAGGCTTCCCCAGTGGAGTCGGAGCCCACCGGTGGGATGTTGACTCCTGGACGCTGCCGCCCATCACCCTGACTGCCTTTCAGCAGGCGTGCAGGCGCTTCGGCCCGTCAGTGGGGCTGGGCTGCGACAACTTGCACCCTCGCCAGCTCCTTCTGCTGCCAGTGGCGCTGCAGCTTCGCCTGATTGACATCCTCACGGCGTTCGAGGACGAGCCTTCATCGATCGTGGGGCAGGTGACGCCCATGGTTTTTATCCCTAAAGCTGACGGGGGGACGAGGCCCATCGCGCTGCTCCCGTTGGCCTTGCGGCTTTGGTTTCGCCTGAGGCAGCCGTGCTGTGCCCGAAGGGAGTCAGACCACAACTCCCCCTTCTTTTGGGGTCGCGATGGCCGCGATTGTGAGCGAGCGGGTTGGATCCACAACTGCTTCGCGGGCTTCGCGATGGCCTCCCCGCAGTTCGAGGTGGCCAGCCTGTTCCTGGACATCCGCAAGTTCTACGAACACGTTCGCCACGACGTCCTCTGGGCGTCGGCCCAACGCTTCGGCTTCAACCTGAAGCTGCTGCGCGGCCTCCTCGCCATCTACCAGGCCCCGAGGATCGTGCTGGCAGGTGGCATGGCGTCGGCCCCCTTTGGGGCCAGTGGCGCAGTGCTGGCTGGCTGCGCGCGCGCGACGGCTGTTGCTAAGCTTCCCCATATTTGGAGGTCTCCTCGCAGCTGGGGCTCAGCGGCCTCTCGCCACCCTGCGCAACTTGGTGGGCGATGTCTCGCTCCAAGTTGTCGGCTCGGCGAGGTCGGTTGTGGACCAGCTCGCGGGGGCTAGTGGGGAAGTGCTGCGACACCTGCGGACCCGCCACCTCCCGCTCAACGAGGGCAAGTCCGTGTTCCTGGCCTCGTCGGCGCAGGTGGCGGACGGCCTCGCCGCCAGTTGGGCCGCCCTCGGCTTCGAGGTCAAGCGCGGCCTCCAGGCCCGCAACCTGGGCACCGACGCCAACGTGACCCGCAGAGGGGTCCACGAGGGAGCCGCCCGTGCTGTGGGGGGGCCTCTCCCGTGCCAGGCGGCTGCGCACCCTGAGCTCGGCGGGGGCCGCGGTGGTGCACATGCGCCGCGCAGGCCCAACCGCCGCCATGCTGTGGGGCAGGACGGTCACAGGGGTGCCCGACGGCGAGTTGCACTCCTGGCGCCTGGCGGCAGCGCGCTCGGCTGGGAAGCTTCCCAAGGGCGCCTCCCTTGGGCTGGACCTGGACCCGAGCCCAGCCCTGGTGCGTGCCGCGGTGCAGATGGCAGCCAGCCTCCTTCAGACGGGCGAGGTGCCCCTGAGGATGTTCGCCACCTGCCTGGTGGAGGCCGAGCGCGGGCACGGCGGCGCCAGGGCGCCCTGGGTGCACTGCAGGAATCCCGTCGACGCCCTTGCCCTCTTTCTGTCGCGGGTTGGTCGGCGTCCCTCGGCTGAGCACATCCTGCGCACCGACGACGGCCACACCTTGGACATGCTGATCATGGGCCCCCGCGAGCTCGGGCTGCCGGCTGCCGCAGGTGCCCGCAGGGCCTCCGGCAGGGCTGAGATGACGCGGCTTGGGCACGGAGCCGCCCCCTCCATGCCCTTGTTTTGGGACGCACTCGGGCAGGTCATCGGCCCGCGCGGCAGGTTTAGGAGCTACCTGTCGAACGCCCACTGGCCGCAGACTCGCCTCTTTGCGTCTGGCGAGCGGGGCCACTCTCGCTGCTGCGCCTGCGGCGAGGCGCGTGACAGCCTCTGGCACAGGCTTTTCGAGTGCCTAGCCCTGGCCGCAGAGAGGAGGGACTCGCTGTCCGCCCGCCTTCTTCGCTGCGCCACTCGGGTGAGGCAGCGAGGTGAGGAGGCAGGGGAGTGCCTCTCCAGGTGCTGGCTGCCGCAGCCCCCGCAAACGGCCTGGAGGTCGGACGCGACGGCAGTCGTGTGGGAGAACAGGCCTGCCGACGGGCTGCTAGGCGGTCGCCTCTACCTCGACGGCTCGGCGCTCGACCCTGAGTTCGAGTGCATCCGCAGGGCTGGCTGGAGCATCGTGCAGTGCGACGAGTACGGCAACATGCAGGCGGCGGTGTACGGCACGGTCCGCCCCTGACCTGTGCCCCTTCCAGACGGCGAAGGACGGCGAGGACTTCGCGGTCTGGATGCTGAGCCGCTACCTCGGGCCTTCGATCACCGAGCTCAACATCGACTGTGCGTCCACGGCCAGCTGCTTGAAGCTCGGCAGGAAGTATGCGACGGCGGCCAACAAGCTTAATGCGCACCTGTGGTCGGCCGCCTACGCCTCACTTGACGTGGGCTCGCTCAAGGTGGCGGCCCACTGCACCGAGACCGATGTTCGCGAGGGCAGGATCTCGGAGGTGCAGTGGCGTGGGAACGCCCACGCCGACAGGCTGGCGAAGGCGGGGGTGGCCCTCCACAGGGTCAGCGCGGCTGCCAGGCGCGAGTTCTTCGGCGCGATGGAGGTCGTGAGAGAACTCTCCAGGTGGATCGCTCAGGCCTCGATCGTCTGGCAGGGCATGGCCTCCAAGGACTGCGAGGGCTTCCCTGAGGGCGACGAGCGAAGGACTGCTGTCACCTTCGCGGTCCCGCTGGAGGAGCGTGCTGACGGCCTGCTGGCGGCCCCCGCGAGCGGTTCGCGCGCCGCGCCCATCGCCGTGGGGCCACGCGGGGGGCAGGCAGGCAGCCGCCCCGCCGCTGATGGCGCCTGGGCCTCGGCGGCGCGCGACGGCGGAGCGGCACTGGGCGCCCTGGTCTTCGCCTTCGCTGGGCGCGCCCTCGCGCGCGCCAGGTGCGGCGAGGACGGCGCCGAGCAGGAGATCATCGCGTGCACCGAGTGCGGAGCGTATGCGAGGCTAGGCGGGCGCTCTGGCTCGCAGCCCAAGCTGAAGGAGCGTTGTCCTGGTGCAACGGGCCTCCCCAAGTCGCTGCGGGACCAGAAGTCGCGGTGGGAGCGTGGCTTCCACCCTGGGGGCGCGCCGCACGTCCGCAACGCGCGGGCGAAGGGGGCGGAGGCCCTCCGCCTTCGCAAGGAGGCCGAGGTGCCGCTGGACGCCAGGGTGCGCTTCCTGAAGTGGCTCGGAGTCCAGCCTGATGCCCCAGCAGGCGAAGAGCGCTCCGCCTCGGTGGCTGGCGCTGTTGGGGGCGGCGCTGGCGGTGCGGCCTCTTCCTCGACAGAGGCGCCTGCGGCGGCTGGAGGTGCCGCGGCGTGCGCGGGATCGCGGCAGGCCTGGCTGGGAGCCTACGGCCTCGATGAGGAGAGCCTTCAGAGCGGGGCTGCGGAGGCCGAGGAGGCCCGAGCTGAGCGTCAGAGCAGGAAGCGGCGCTGAGATGGCGGTGATGGAGGTGATTGAGTCCTGGCTGGCCCCAGCCTTGGGGCGCTCGGACCGCGCGAACGCGCGTGTGCCGAGCTCTCGCTGCTCCTGGCCGTGGTGCGCCAGCCTGCCTCTCCTCCTGTCCTCCCTCTGCGTTCTCCTCCTGTCCTCCCTCTGCGTGTGGGACTCCTGGTGGCCGCGGGCCTCGGCGCGAGGGCGTGAAGATTCTTGCGCCTCGCCTGCCTCGCCGTGCCGCCTGGGGCCGCGCAAGCATGTTTGGGGCGTCGCCCATCGAATGTTTGCATGTTTGCATATATTCCAGCGCTTCGCGCTGATGCCCCTTGACGGGGGTCCTGAGCTGACGGGCCGAGCAGTGCCTCGGGGCCGATGCGCCCTGGAGGCAGCCTCGTGCGGCTCGTCTGGGCTCTAGGGGCCCCTTGAGGCCCGCCCCGTGTCTTGGGACGGCCCCTTTGGGCTAGGGCCTCTCAGTGGGGCCTGGGCCCTCAGTGGGCTCCCTTTCAGTTTTTATAGGCCCCGCGTTACACTTCAGTCCACTCCGTTCCACTCACTTCCTGTCTTCCGGGCTCCTTGGAAGCTGCGCTGGTTGATGTGCAGTTGTCCGTTCTTCTGTACGGTAGGTTCGCGTCGTGTTGCCCAGCGGCGACCGCGCCGTTGGCGTTCAACGTTGAACGCCGCTGGTTACCCAGAATTGCTCGATGATGATTTGACGTTTCGGGCAAACGGCCGCTCGTTAAAGGTTGAGCGATGCCCACGGTGTCAGGAACCCACACCGGCATCGACACGACACCATCTGGCAGTAGGTACTTCCTGAGCCTGGGCCCCGCCGCCGTGGAGGCGCGCGTCGTGCGCCTGGCGGCGCAGCTGCGCGCGGGCCTCTGGGCGGCGCAGGTGCCGGGCCTGGAGGTGGTGGACCTCGGGGCCAGGCTCGGGCGGGCGTCAACGGTCAGGGGAGGAGGTGGAGGAGGAGGAGGAGGAGGACGACGACGAGGAGGAGGAGGAGGACGACGACGGGGAGGAGGACTTATGGATTTCCAAGAATTGTCCCCGCCGAACTATCCGAAACCCGTAGGTTGCCAGTCACCTATGGTGAATCTGGCGACCTATGGGGTTTTCCCCAACTGATTCTGCCAGGTGATGGGAAACCCATAGGTCGCCAGAACCCCCTAGGAAATTTGGCCACCTATGGGTTTTCAAGAATTGTCCCCGCTGAACTATGGGAAACCTACAGGTCGCCAGAAACCCTTAGGGAATCTGGCGACCTACGGTTTTCCCAGACTTGTCCCCGCCGAATGATGAACCCATAGGTCGCCAGGCACCCCTAGGGAATCTTGAGGCCTATGGGTTTCCCAGAATTGTCACCGCCGACTGATGGGAAACCCATAGGTCTCCAGAAAACCATTGAGAATCTGGCGACCTATGGGTTTCCCAGAACTGTCGCCGCCGAAGTATAGCAAACCAATGCGCCGCCAGAAACCATTGGGGAGTCTGGCGGCCCATGGGTTTCTCAGAATAGTCCCCGCCGGGTCATGCGAAACCCATAGGTCGCGAGAAACTGTTTCAAGGGAATCTGGCGACATATGGGATTCCGGGACATGTCACCGCCGAAATATGGGGAACCCATCAGTCGCCAGAACTCGCTCGGGAATTTGGCGACCTATGGGTTGCCCAGAATTGTCCCTGCCGAATCATTGGAGACCCATAGGTCGCCAGGATCCCTTAGGGAATCGGGCGACCTATTGTAGGTTTCCCAGAAGTGTCCCAGCCGAACAATGGGAATCTCATAGGTCGCCAGAAACCCCTAGGGAATATGGCGACCTATGTGTTTCCCAGAATCGTCCCCGTCGGGTTTTGGGAAACCCATAGGTCGCCAGACACTCGTAGGGAATCTGGCGACCTATGGGTTCCCAGAAGTGTCACCGCCGAAGTATGGCAAACCCATAAGTCGCAAGAAACCTTTGGGGAATCTTGCGACCTATGGGTTTCCCCGAATTGTCCCAACCGAACTATGGGAAACACATTGGTCGCCAGAAACCTTTCGGGAATGTGGCGACCTATGGGCTTCCCAGAATTGCCACCGCCGAATTATGGGAATACCATGGGTCGCCAGAAACATCTAGGGAATCTGGTGACATATGAGTTTTCGGCCGAATTCGGGGTAACCCATAGGTCGCAAGAAGCCCGTACGGGAACTGACGACCTATGTGTTTTCTAGATTTGCCCCCGCCAAACTATTTGAAACCCATAGGTCGCCAGAACCCCCCAGGGAATCTAGCGACCTACTGGCTTTCCTGGAATTGTTTCCTCCGGGTTGGGGGAAACCCACAGGTCGCCAGAAACCTTTGAGAATTTGGCGACCTATGGGTTTCCCAGAATTGCCCCCGCCGAATTATGAGAAACCCACAGGTCGCCAAAATCCTCCAGTGAATCTGGCGACCTACGAGTTTCCCAGAATCGCCCCCACAGAATTATGGGGAACCCATGGGTCGCCAGATTCACTACCTATGGTTTTTCAGATTTGCCACCGCCGAATTATTGGAACACACAGGTCGCCAGAACCCCCCAGGGAATCTGGTGACCTATGGGTGTCCCAGGATTGCTCCCGCCGAGTGATGTGACACCCATAGGTCGCCAGAAACACCCAGGGAATCCGGCGACCCATATGTTTCCCATAATTGTCACCGCCGAACTATGGGAAACCCATGGGTCGCCAGAACCTTCCAGGGAATCTGGCGACCTATGGGCTTACTAGAACTGTGCCCGCCCAAGTATGGGAAACTCATAGGTCGCGAGAAACCCGCAGGGAATCTGGCGACGCATGGGGTTTCACATAATTGTCACCTCCGAAGTTTGGGAAAACCATCGGTCGCCAGAAACCCCCAGCGAATATGGCGTCCGATGGATGTCCCAAACTTGTCACAGCAGATTGAAAGGAAACCCATAGGTCGCCAGAAACTATTAGGGAATACGGCGACATGGGTTTCCCAGAATTGCCCCCGCAGAATTTTGGAAAATTCATAGGTCGCCAGAGACGCACGGGGAATCTGGCGACCTATGGGTTTCCAAGAGTTACCACCACCGAATTATAGGAAACCCATAGGTCGCCAGAAACGTCTACGGAATATTGCAACCGATGGGATTTCCAGAAGTGTCACTGCTGGCTTATGGAATCTGGCGACCTATGGGCTTCCCAGAATTGCACCCGCCGAATTATGGGAAGCTCATAGGTCGCCAGAAATCCCTGGGGAATCTTGCGACCGCTGGGTTCCCTAGAATCATCACCGCAGAACTCGGGGAAACCCATAGGTCGCCAGAACCCCTCACGGACTGTGGCGACATATGGGTTTCCCGGAATTGTCACCGCCGATATATGGGAATCTCATAGGGCGCCAGAAATTTTCAGGGAATATGGCGACCTACGGGAAACCTTGCAGAGTTATGGGGATCATATAGGTCGCCAGAAACCCGTAAGGAATCTGGCGACCTATCTGCTTCCCAGAATTGTCGCCGCCGAATTTTGGGAAGCCCATATGTCGCCACAAACCCTAGGGAATCTGGCGACCCATGCGCGTGCCAATATTGTCCCCGTCGAATTATGGGCAACCCATAGGTCGCCGGAAACCCCTTCGGGTATAGGGCGACCGATGGGGTTCCTAGAACTGTCGCCGCCGACTTGTGGAATCTGTCGACCTATTGGTTTCCCAGAATTGCACCCGTCGAATCATGTGAAACCCATAGGTCGCCAGAAATTCCTCGGGGATCTTACGACCGCTGGGCCCCCCAGAACTGTCACCACAGAATTTTGAGATACCCACGGGTCGCCAAAAACCCTCAGGGAATATTGCGACCTATGGGTTTCCCGGAATTGCCCCCGCCGAAGCATGGGAAACTCATAGGTCGCCAGGAACTTTTTCAGAATATGGCGACCCATGGGTTTCCCAGAATTGCCCCTGCGAATTCTGGGGAACCAATTGGTCGCCAGAAACCCGTAAGGAATCTGGCGACCCGCGGGTTTCCCGGAATTGTCACCGCCGAAGTATGGGAAGCCCATAGGTCGACACAAGCTGTAGGGAATGTGGCGACCCATGCGTGTACCAACATTGCCCCCGTCGAATTCTGGGCAATCCATAGGGTGCCAGAAACCCTTCGGGAATATTGCGATCTATGTGTTTCCCAGAGTTGCCCCCGCCGAAGGGGAACTGGCGAAGTATGGGTTTCCCAGAATTGCACCCGCCGAACTATGTGCAACCCATAGGTCGCCAGAGCCTCTTAAGGAATCTGGCGGCATATGGGTTTCCCAGAATAGGTCGCCAGAAACCATTGGGGAATATTGCGACCTATGGGTTTCCCATAACTCGCGGCTGCGAGCGGTGTCCATATTCCGAACTGTGGGAAACCCATAGGCTGCCAGAACCCCCTAGGGATTCGCCCGCCCACTCCCGCGGCCCCGTGGAATTTCACAGAAGTTGAGACGCCGCGCCATTATATGACATTCGCATTCAAATTCTTTCGCGCCATTGGGGCGGCGAGCGGGGGCCAGGTTCCGAAGCATGGGAAACCCATGGGTCGCCAGAAACCCGTGGGGAATCAGGCGACCTATGTGTTTCCATATTTCGCGGCGCCGAGCGGGGTCCAGGTTCCGAATTATGGGAAACCCATCGGTCGCCAGGAATCCCTAGGGAATCTGGCGACTCATGGGTTTCCCAGAAGTGCCCCCGCCGAGTTAAGTGACACCCATAGGTCGCCAGACACCCGCAGGGAATATGGCGACCGATGAGTTTCCCATAGTTCGCGGCGGCGAGCAGGGTTCAGGTTCCGAATTATGAGAGGTAACTAGGTCGCCAGAAACCTTCATGGAATCCGGCGACCTATGGCTTTCCTATAAATCGCGGCGGCGAGCGGGGCCCAGGTTCCGAATTATGGGAAACCCATAGGTCGCCAGAGACCCTGAGGGAATCTGGCGACCGATTGGTGTCCCATAGTTCGAAGCGGCGAGCGGGGCCCAGGATTCGAATTCTGGGAAACCCATCGGTTGCCAGAAGCCCCTGGGAATCTGACGACCTATGGGTTTCAATATTTTACGGCGGCGAGCGGTGTCCAGGTTCCGAATGATCGTGAACCCATAGGTCGCCAGAGACCCTTAGGGAGTCTGGCGGCCTATAGGTTTCCCAGAATTCGTGGCGGCGGGCGGGGCGCAGGTTCCGAATTATGGGAAACCCATAGTTCGCCTCAAACCCTCATAGGGAATCTGGCGACCTATGGGTTTAGCAGGGTCCAGATTCCGAATTATGGGAAACCCATATGTCGCTAGAAGCCCTCAGAGAATGTGGCGACCCATAGGTTTCCCGTCGTTCGCGGCGGCGAGTGGGGTCCAGGTTCCGAACTATGGGAAACCCATAGATCGCCGGAAGAACCTCGGGAATCTAGCGACCCGTGGGTTTATCATTATTCCGGCGGCGAGCGGGGTCCAGGTTCCGCTTTTTGGAAAACCCATAGGTCGCCAGAAACCTTGAGGGAATCTTGCGACTTGGGCTTCTCAGAATTATTTCCCCGCCGAATTAGGGGACGACCATAGGTCGCAAGATACCCCTAGGGAATCTGGCGACCTATGGCCTTCCCATAATTGCCACCGCCGAATCGGAAGCAAAAAAATCAGGTCGCCAGAACCACCTAGGAATCTGGCGACCTACGGGTTTCCCATGATTCGCGGCTGCGAGCGGGGTCGCAAACCCATAGGTCGCCAGAAACCCTTAGGGAATCTGGCGACCTATGGGTTTCCCATATTTCGTGGTTGCGAGCGGCGTCCAGGTTCTGACTTATGGGAAACCCATAGGTCGCCAGATTCCCTAGGGGTTTCTGGCGATATGGGTTCCCCCCAATTTTGAACTGCGACTCCACTCGACGCCGCGAATGATGGGAAACCCAT